TATGGAAGTTGTATGTCATCTTGGAAGGTGAGGAGACATGATGTGCACATTGAAAATGTGCATGCTTAGCCTAAAGCAAGCCTTGATAGGAGTATGGTATGGTTATTACAGCTCGATGAGTGTTAGTTACATGTAAGAGCTTCTCTTTGTCTGACATCTTGGGCCTGAACTGGGTTTCAGCTCTGCTCAGTGCTGCTCTAGTAAGCCCATAGTGTGGTAGTATTGTGTAGTTCCACTGGCTCATTAGAAAACCTCCATAAAATAAAAGTTTCCCGTTCTTTCTCAGAGAGAAGGAAATAATGGGGAAGAATCACTATTTATGTCCTATTATGTGTAATAAATCTTTAGAAAGCTAGCAGCTTTTCTTAGAAATAACTAGGAAAATATTCTAAATGCTTAAATGCTCTTCTCTTTAGGAGGTGAATTGCTCTTTTGGAGCTATAGATAGTTTAATGAATAGCGGGGTATTTGGTTTACATGGACATCAGAATTTCTTGCATTCTTCTTGCAATAGCCTAATAAGGAAAAAGACAAGAAGAAATATGAAAGTGGGATGATTTTTAGTCATCTTTTTCCTTTCTCTGAATAGAGTGTGATGAAAAGATTGTGAGATGCACAAAGCCATCAGGTTTTCAGCTGCTGCTGTTGGAGAGGTGAAAATTCTTTGCCCAAGAGTCTGTTTATATGTTTAAACAGAGAAAGTGATTTTCATTGCAAGGAGCTCTAAGTGAGACAGGCAGAGTCAGAGAATAAGAGAGCAAAAGATAATTATCTAAATTATGTTCAGGCTATTACAGAAGACGAATATAGTTAAAATGTAATTAAGTATGACAGGCTCACAGGATGCAAGCATGGCTTTGGAATGCTAATCATCAATTACTGCGTCTCCTTAGGGGAGTCAGGCAGAAAAAGAGTTAGAAGTCGTGTGGCTGAGGTGAGATGTAGAGTGTTAAACGCTGTAGGACTGTAACAAGGCTAATTTCTTTTTTAAAATGGAGCTGCTAGCCAAACAACTTGTAGTGTGCATTTCAGCTAGGGGATCCTGGTATAAATCTGAGTAGGCTGCTAGTCCTGGGTCTTCTCTTTGGGGTGGAAACCTCAACTTGACGCAGTGATTATTTCTGTTATGAAAGTGATGACCAGAACTGCTGCAGACTGAGCCAACAAATCTAAAACAAATCAGCAAGCAAGACAGGTGTCAAAGCATAAAAAATATCAACACTGCCTGAATATTTAATAAAGCTAAACCCTGAAAACTATATTTGTTATAGGGTCACTAATAAGCTGTACAGAGACACAAAAAGTCCAAAAGAAAGCAGTGTCATTTTATGAGAGAAGTAAATTCTGATAGCTTCTTTATGACTGTGTCCCAGGTAAAGACAGTAAAAGTATTGCCAACAGTTTGAAAGATTTGTTTGTTTGGCATATGGGGAGTAAAGGTGAAGAGATGCCATCCATTACACAAGACTATCTAATCCCAGGCTAAGAATGAAGTGGTTTTGATCTGCTTTAATGCTGCTGTTCCTGTTATAGAGTGACTTCTGTGAATAATTGTGAGAGCAATGTATAAAGTTTAGAGGAAATTTTTATAAAGACCATCAAAAGTGATTTTGAGAATAGAAAGACAAGCTTGTGCAAAGAAAATGTAAAGTAAGCACACAGGCATGGCATGATAAGATAATAGATAAATGACATGACTACAAAACAATTTGCAAAATACAATTTCTACAGAGAAACTGAAATTATTAAAATAGTACCAGCAGAGATAACTAGTAGTAAAAAAGGAAAGTTAGAAAAAAAACTTGAGGTTTACCTGTGATGTTTTTAATTGAGGAACGCCACTGAAAAATTGTTATGGCTCTATACATTAATCGAATTCTAAGTCAATTTGTTATATCAACAACAAATGCAAAAAACAGGTCAGATATGTCTTGATAATGTTCTGTCAGAAATCTCTTTTCTTATAGGGGTATAGTTACATTCATAAATTATCTCTTTGCTGCATAATAATGTCTGTACTGTAGAGGTATTGCCTGGCATATATCAACATTCTCAAATGTACTGTTGCAGTCAAATCCATGCATTTTTCTACTGAAGGTTTGCCTTGCTTATTTCAAAAATTATGCTTCCCAATTCACTTGGCTTGTTTTCTATTTGGCTTTTCTCCTTTTTGCTAAGAAAATAAAATGAACCTCCTAATTTTCTCCTTATGCAATTAAGTATTAATTATCCAGTGGCAATGTTCTTGAATTTTAATAACTTGCCTACAAATGGTATGTAATTTTGACTTTATTTTTCCAATGAGAAAGGAGTAAAATGGACACATACCAAAATATAAATAGTCTTAGGACTGAATTTGCTGAAAATGCTATCTAAAACACTCTCAAGATTTTTTTTTATTCTTTTTCATTATATTTTAATATTATTAAAGAAGTAATTTTAATCCAATTCTAATAATGCTGTTGTAGCAGAAAGTAAGGACTTGCAATGCATTGAGAAGTGAAGAAGCATAGGAACTTCCTGGAGGAGTTGATCTGGAAGTATGTCATCAAAACAGTCTTCAGAGATCTTTTTCTCAATCTCTCTTACTATCTGTTGTGCTCTTCAGATGTATTCCCAAATAGATGCATCAGCTTCCTTGCTATCACATCCTGGCACAAACAGTGACATTTATTGCTGTGCTTGGAAATTCTGCACTGAGTTTGTGCAGTGTGTATCTGACCAGTGCTCAGAAATGGTAGAAATAAATACAGACCCACTTCTGTTCTATTTTGTGGTCTCTAATTAATGTCTTTTCTTATCACAGAACACAAACTCTACATTAGTGTCTAGGGAGGCACAGACTCTTCTTAATATCTACTTTAGGATTTTAAACTCTTTTATTTAGTGCAGCTTTAAAATATTTTCCAAATCATGAGAAAGCAAACTGTTTATCCATCATCGTTCTCCTTGCATAAAGTTTTTGTGTGTAAATGTCAAAGCATATGCATAATGCAAACTATGGCAATGCTTTGTTAGGAGAAGCACTGCTGTGATCATCTCTTTATCCCAGCCTCTCATCTTTGGGACATTGTAGTTCAAGGTAACAAATTCTGTTTGCCCATGGAGATTGACTGACCATACTAGAGTAATGTTAGAAGGGATGTCAAGGAGAGTAATTATCCTGTTGGGGGGAAATGTTTAAATCATGACAATCTTTCAGGTCTCGAAACAATCAACAAAATAGTCTATTCCCATTTTATCTTTTATTTAGAGCATGAAGAAACAACCTGAGCTTTAAAATAGAGGTATAGCCACATAAGGGATATAAATAAACCATACCATCAGGTAGATAACTGCCTACCTCTGAGGCCTGCCACAAGCCACACCTCTCTGTTGCCATGAATGACTCTAATTACACCCATTACCTCATGGAGTAAGACCACTAAACTATTTGAAATCAGGACTTGATTAGATTTGTAATCTTCTTTAAGCAAATATAACCAAACAGCAGTAATAAAAGTAATAGCTAACTAAATTAAGCTGAGAAATGCTATGTTTGTTACAAACTGAGTTTTCCCAGCAAGAGAAAAATGAAATGTCGGACAAATAGTCAGCAATGAAGCTGTTCATACTGCCAGGCATTGGGGTTATCTGCTGACAGTGAGTGGTGTTCTATTCCAGTTTTACTTTGGTCCCCTTTTTCTTACATGAACACTTCTAAAGGTATTCAGAACCCATTCTCGAAAACTATCCAGCTTTTTTCCATAGTAAATTAATCAAGTTACACCTAATTTAATTTTATTTCTGAGGCCTTCTGTTATATAGTCTAGTTTGGCTGAGAAGTTAAATTCTGGATTTTTTTTTCATGTTTTATGAATAAAAATAATTTATATTTTAATGTGCAGGCCTTCTGTTATATAGTCTAGTTTGGCTGAGAAGTTAAATTCTGGATTTTTTTCATGTTTTATGAATGTAAAAAAATTTAAATTTTAATGTGTTCAAGTACTAAACTAGTGGAAAACTGGTGCCCAACTGAAAGCTCTAGTTCGTGGTATTCTTTTTATTGGTTCTGTTGTACTGTGAGCACAAAGGTATGGTGTCCTTTTCCTGCTGTGTATTAGGCTGCTTGAGATGTTGCAGCTCACTCAGATCAGATGAGTATGAGTGAGGAACAAAGATTATAGTGGTCCCAATGTACCTCTAATGTTCTAGTCTAGCCTGAAATTATATACCAGCTCTGGAAGAGTGGTCTGTTCTCCTCACTGCTGCTGTGTCAGCATGGGGAAATGCTCACAAACTGAACTGCAAATGGTACTTTGTGGCATTTTAAACTTCTGGAAGGACCTTGGTCCACACAAAGAAATCTTGGCTCCTCTTGCTCTACTGCTCCACTTAGAGTGTGAAAAGTTGGAAGTTTTAGGTAGTTTGGTGTGGTTGCTTTTTTCCCTCCTGCAGTTGTAATTTTCTTGAACCAAACTCTGGTGATTCGTCCACACAAAGAAATCTTGGCTCCTCTTGCTGTACTGCTCCACTTAGAGTGTGAAAAGTTGGAACTTCTAGGTAGTTTGGTGTGGGGTTTTTTTTTCCTTCCTGCAGTTGTAATTTTTTTGAACCAAACTCTGGTGATTTCTGGTGAGAAGTTAATAGGAGGATGCACTTTTATTTATCTGACCTTTTTTTTTATCTAATACAGTCCATATTAGTCAAGAATTTTAGGCTTCAATCCAGGCCTTTTTTCTTTGACTATTTTCTTAACTTTCAGCTTCAATAGTATGATTGTTGTCCCTGCATGAAAATTATAGTGGTATAAGGTATGTATGAAATTGCATAAGCAGAGTCAAGACACTTAAAAATGAGGAAGCGGTGCTGGAAATTCAGGCAATGAAAAATGTTTCTCCATCCGCCCTGTTAAGTGATAATAGTACATACATACTGTCACTTGAATGCATTCTGTATGTTTTATTGGAGGCTTTTGTGACTGTTCAATATTTGTATGTCTTTTTGAATTTTCTTTGTAGATCCTGGCAAACAATCACTTTTGATAAACAGCCTGCATCTTTTATCAGAATAGTTGGAACTCGCAACACAGCTAATGAGGTAAGGAACTTCTAAAAAACCCCATATTCTTCAAGAATATACTACAACACAGTTTTTCATATCTTGCAGTGAAATTCATAAGGCCTTCTCAAATGTACATACTTCATCTTTTTGCTCTGGCAATCTAGCAAAACACTTGAAACTGTTCCTTGTTTTGACCTTTCTACACTGCCATCAAACACTCCTATTGGGTTTGTTTTTAAATTAATCCTGATTTTGGTGAACAATTAAAATACCAATTTAATACACTAGAGAAAGATGTATGGTCTCTGATATACTTGGATTTTATCACCCGTATATTATCTTTTTAATTAATAAAACATAAGAAAAATCTCAGTACTCATAAGAAAATCTTATTTGCATAAGATTCACTTATCATTAATTTTCATACCTGGTGAATTGGTTGACTAATAGTGGCCAAACCAGAAGATTCTTTTCATTTTATGCAGAAAAATATATTTTTCTGTATAAAAAGAAAGTGCAGTATTATCTCATCTTTGTTTACTTGTGCTTCTCTCTTTTGTAGTCATTGTGTATTGTCTCAGATGAAGTCCAGATTTTACTCTTGACTTCAGTGAAACAATTTACAATATGTGAATTTAAGAGTATATGTATGTCTTTGTGAGATTAGGACCTTATATGACAACATTACAAGAGGCCCCAAAGGCCACAGTTTGTGTGTATAGACCTGCCTATATCCCACATGTGTATCTCACCACCAAACGTGGTACTCTGATGTTTGGGGTAGCACTGTTACATTTGGATTAATTACAATTTGTCATCTCCAGAGGTGAGGTTTTCTGATTGTATTTAGCATTTGGTATTGCTGGTTCCTAAGCACTGGGAGCATCATCCAATGGCATTGTCTGTTCCCAGATGTAGTGCAACTCCTGCAAACCAGAGCAGCACCAGATATCAGTATCTCAGCCAACAGAACTGGGAATACAAATTTTTATTTTGTGTTTCTGAGCAGTGTCTCTGATTGTACAGTTCAGTCTCAATGAGTCCTTAGAATTAATGTCAGAAGCTGCCTATGGGGTAGTACATGTGTGAAGAAGGCTTCTTCCATTAGTGATCCATACTGACAGTCTTGTTTCCTCTCATGCCAGTGTTTGTAAATTCCCAACTCTCTGTTAAAAAAGAATGAGGTGCATTGCATAAACTTAGCAATGCAGGGAACATTGCTTTCAACTTTGAATTCTTGAAGGTAGCTTTAAGCCCTGAAGAGCAATGGCCTTTTAGCCATAATTCTAATTTCAAATTGGTTACTATTTCCAAGGAATTTAATATCCTGTATAATTATTTATATAGAGCACTGCATAACTGTAGTGAAGATGAGTATGAATAGAGGTTACAGCCATTCATGTAGTGTCTCAGTTGAATTATAAATACATGCTGTTCTCCTTTGTCTTTTCCTCTTTTGTCTGTAAAATCTGCATCCAACAATAATTTGATTTTTATTTTTTAAGTTATTTCTTTTCATGCCTATAGAGGAGGAACACTGTCAGTGTGCACATATTACCAAATTACTTACATATATATATATAAAAGAGAGGGTCTGTAATGTTTTGTCATAGATTTTAGTCTTCTAAAGAAAGCAGCAAGATATTTTTTTCCTATTTACAAATTAAATAGGAATAGTTTAACCAAAATCTTGGTTTGTTCTATAGTCTCAGTAGTCTATTCAGTAAGAATATAAGCAATGTCCAGAATTACTTGCCCACAGCTGCTACTACAGTTTGTCAGACATTTTCATTTTTAATAAAATATACAGCATATTCAGCAGCATATTCTTATCAATGAGTATTCTTTAATAGGTACAAAATATTCCTTTTTCTACCTACACATACCTTTGAACTTTGAAACACAATTTGTACATCCCAAAGGGAAGAGTTGATTTTTTGAATTTAAAATAAATCCCATAAAATTTCTCCATTTTGTGAATTCTTTAATCTTTTAAACTCATTTTTCCTCACCATGTTTTTCAAGTTCTGAAAGACAAGTTCACAAATTTTTTTACCTGGAATTTGAATAGCTTTTGTTATATTAGAACATGATAGAAGTGTAACCTTCTTTTTTCTTGAGCTTACACACATTCTACTTTTGTAGAGAAAAGAATTATTTTTCCTTGTCATCATTTATTTGTCAGATAGGTCACCTGATACTTCATGTAAGTTTTCTGTTGTTATTCCTCTCCAGTATCACTGACCTGGAAAGGACACCTAGTTGCTGATGTGAGAGCTTTATCTTACAAATTACTGTGCCAGTGTATTTGTACTTGGCCTTCCTGCTTTGTGTGTCTGACCTCTCTCAAAATATCCATGAGAAGTAGAACATGACGTGGGTCACAGGGTGATCCTGAACTGTTATTTTTTCTTTTGAGAGAAGCCCGTGCAAGATTGTTTGTTTTAGTGATGTTGTTCTGAAATGCTTAATTCTGATACCGGATGCGGCAGCTGGGCTCGACTGTGCTTCTCAGGCTTAGGCTTCTCCCACACTGTATTCTTTATATGCTGAGGTGGCAGAGTAACTGAGAATCATGTTCCAAATTCACAGGCTTGCCAATATGCCACATGTTTTCATCACTAAGAATTTGATATGAAAAAATCAGTAAAAATAAAAGTTACAATTTAAGAATTGTGTACTTCTGACTTTCTCGACTACTGTTAGCTAATTTTCAGGGCTGTCCATGCACACTATGTTTAAAAAAGCTGTATCACTATGTAAAGTGAGGTTTTAAATGAGAAACACTGTTACTGTGGGATACAGCAGAAATGCAGAATCTCCTGGCTTAGAGACCTCCATCACATTCTGTGCTTCCTTTCAAGGAAAGCAGCATCTTACAGAGCTACACGGATGAGAGAATGTTCTTTTCTGCAAGGCCTTATCCTGAAAAGTGCAGCTGGAAAAATTGCAATAGCTGTTACTTTAAAAACACAGGAGTGGGATGAGTACAAAAGGGACTTCTCTAGAAGTGTAGATAAATACAAAAATTGGCTTCTCAAGAACTGTAACAGATGGAGAGAATGCATGCCAGTATAGGAATTAGTTCAGCTTTAGGACAAAAACAGAAGAAATGCAGAGGAAAACCATTTTGTGCACATGTGTCTGTGTATGGGTGCCTGTGCAGATTTGTAATCTGTTCATATATATGTATATATAAAGGCATAGCAATACATCTTTATGTGAGCATATATAGAAATATAAGTATGTATTGCAAAGCAGCTGCATAAAAACTTATACTGAGGGGGCACAAGAAAATATAATGGAGATTTTAAAAAAAACCAAGCAGTGACTGAAATTTTTTTAATTCATTTTATGTATGCTGTCAGAATTTGAATTAGCTAGCTACATCCTCAGAAAAGACCTGGGGCTACTGCAAACATGTCACTGCAGATGTCTGCTCAATGTTCAGTTGAGCAGGGATGGTCAAAAAGAATACTAGGATTTGAGGTTATATTGGAGAAAAGATAGAAAATATAGTATTCTGTAGTCTTGTATGAATATGTAGTATATCCGTCTTGTTTATGATATTTGATTTCACCCACATTAATTGGAAAGGGTCTGGGAAAGGGCAGTTAAGATTATAAGAGATTACCTTTCTTTGTGAGAAGAGCTTTAAAGACAAGAATAATAGAAGATGTCATAAAAGTATACAATGTTAAGACAATAAGTTTAAAATTCAGGATTTAATATTCATCGAGCTTTAGCTTTTAAATTATAATGCATGGGAAAACAGCAAATTTAAAGCACTGTAAAACAATATTTTTATTTAGTGTGTGTCAAAGTCGTGCAATTCATAGCAATACAAAATCATATGGAAAGAGGCTTTGTAACAATTTTAAAGAGTTCCTCCCCCTTCTCCTCCCAGGCTCTTCAAGAAGAAGTAGAAGTAAGTACAGTAGAAAGTAAATTGGAAAAAATGCTTAAGCACTTGGTCCTCTTACTCTAAGATACAGTCACCTGTACACTGGTCCCAGATATTGTTTGAATCATCAGAAAATGATCACTATTTCAAAAGGAATATTTCATCTGATGAAGCAGCAGCCACCTTGGACACTCTGAATGCCTGTCTACATACTCCAGGACATGTCTGTAGAGCTGCCACTGTTATTACAGCAGAGGGCAATCTTGAAATAGAATCATGTTGGTAATGATTTAAATTTCATTTCTAGTGTGCATGAACATTCAGCCTCCTGAGGAAGTGATTGGATCATAAAATGTGTTTAAGACAACTGATATAACTGTTGTTATTATCCAATAGCATGTAGTAGGTATTTCTGGTAGTTGGCAAAGGAAAAAAATGTTTACAAATATCCCTATCTGTTTTGGAACCATCTTTCTGATTTTTAGTGCTATAAGTAAAGGTTGGTATAATTTAAAGGCCTTCTCTTGCTCCAGTGTTGACCCTGCCTAATGTTTATTGCCCATGAGTAAATGTTTTTGACCTCATGGTGAAACATTCTATTTGGCTTTGTCACTGATCAAACCATGACACCAGATCAGTGACAAACATGTAAACTTCATCTTACTTTGATCATGTTTTTCTCAGCATTAAATTGTTTTACTTTATCTTCATTTTTTGTTCTCTCCAGGTGTTTCACTGTGTGCATTTTGAGTGCCCAGCACAAAACAGTACCCACAAGGACGAGAGTAGTAAGGAAGTAGGAACAACAGAGGTGGGGACTAGTGGACAGTAGCTTGTTTCTTGCCCTGTTGGAGCTGCAAGCACCTGCTGCCCTGCATTCCCCTCCTGGATCCACCTCACATCCTCATGTTCAGCAACCATAAAGGAGGTTGAAAGGGAGCTTTTGCAGCCCCACTGACATTCTATGAAATTATTCAGAACCTTCTTGTGCTGGCACCTTTCTTTCTCCATGAATGAAGGGGACCATGTCTGAAAGCTGGAAATATTGAAATGGAAAAGGCTTTCTCCCAAGGACATGAAGAGACTGTCGCACTCTCCTCGATATGTTCAAATCAGGCTGGTCTCCAAGGGGGGAGAAAATAGGTCTTCAATCTTCATCAAGTACCCCATTAACACCCTACCTCTCTAATCTAACCAAGGCAAGGAAAACAGAAGGGAATAAAAGGCAGAGCTACAGTGGAAATCTAAAATTACTCAAGCCGAATGGAAAGCATATGAAATAAGTATTTGTTCCGTGGAGGCTTTTATTAGCAAAAAAATTGTTTATGGAACACATCAGTCCACAATATATTTTATTTTTAAAGTGATTCTTCATCCATATTCCTTTGTAACTAGTAATCTGTTTTCTAAATAATTTTGATTCTGTATTCCACTTAGTTTCTTTTTTTTAACTATAGCAAATGCTGTACAGTAAATTAAGGAAGTATCAGACATGTTTACCTGCTGAGATGCAAATTTTCTGATTCATCAGTGGGATGACAAGAAAAGCATTCATGATATCAACAAACTAATTAATGTATCTATATTAATCTTGACCTTAGTTGACTTTTCAAAGTTCAAAATTGTCATTTCCTACATTCAAAAGGAAGTTTCTAAATCAAACATCCATCTTGAAGAAAATTGTATTTTTTCACTCCTGAAGATGATTATTTAAATTTTGCCTGCCTAAGACAACTTGCAACAGAACATCAAAAATGTTTGGTTTAGAAAAGTGGAACTCCATCTGGTCACTGACAAGCAGTTGTTCAAATACCAAAAGACGAATTTGCAGATAATTTACATTTTTCCAAGAAGTTGTTTTACAGTCTGGAGCTAAAAATTCAAAGACTGTGTATGCATTAACATTTCTCATGATCTTCATAAAATGTGATGCTTTTGTACTGTGTTGTAAAAGATCTGATTCTTTACAGTCACAGAATTCGTTATCCATCCATATCTGTCTGGATTACATTGCCTGCTACTTTGCTTATTCTGTTTTCACACTGATGATGATGATGTAGTCTCTTACTCTCCAGATCTGCATGACTTTTAGGAAGGAGCTCCATGTTGATCTTTCAGTATGGGATCAAGAGATTTTGTGTTAAGACAAATGCTGGTGTAATTGGCAAAATTGATTAGGATGCTTGCTCCTCCTCACAAAGTATTTTATATTGGAAATGTCAGCTAACCAGTTTTATGAACTTGGAATTTCCTGTGGTGATAAATAACCTTGTCAGAAGAAAACAAAGCTAGTGCAGGATAAATATGTTTTTTTTATTACATAACCATAGTGATAAAATGAGTTATATCAACATAGCAAATTGTATCTTAATTTATCACACTGCTTAATTTGAAATCATTTCCCTGTTGGATACTAGTTGTGCTAAACCCAAGAAGAAATATAATCAGTGGTAGCAATGAATCAGAGGATATTTCAAATAAGAAAAGCATCCCTTTTCTTTCAAATAAAATTGATTAGGCTTTATCAATAATATTATGGTATTTTTCATTGCCAAATTACAGTTTAGTTCTCACATTTGCATACAGTTCCTTCCCTTCCCTTCCCACTGCTGTGTTCTGACTTGTGAATGTCTGTTGGTGAAGATGGGTGCCCACTGTGCTGTATAAAGATTCTAATTCATGTGCCACAGCTGCCTTTGACACTGTGGAGTTCTGAGGCAGTGCATGTGCCAGCCACTTCCCAGTCTGCAGGGCTGATTACCTCATTGCTTAACAGCCTTTGGAGCATGGAAGAATTGAAACCAGCTACTGAGGACACCACTCTCATGTTTATGCATAAGTCCAAAAAGTTGGAATTTTTTTCCCTTTAAAAGCGGAAAACGTTTTCAGTTGCAATCCATGCTGGAGCTACTGAGATGCCTGGAGCATATCTTGCTTTTGGTAGATAAGTCTTTGCATGGCAGTGGTGGTATTTCTTTGCGGTTCCATCAAACCAGTCTGCTTTTCTCAAACTGGATAAGCAAAGAGCATAGCTTCCTAGCTGTTAGTATTTAGTAGCCACAATTGTAAATAATGTTGAAAAAAGTAAAATCAAAAAAGTTTGTGCCATCTGTTCTGAGCTTAGGCTCTCAGAGAAAGAATGGAATTTTTCCATTTGTAGTCTTCGATGTGCACAGTTAATTTTTATGATATAAATAAGTCTTGTAGGCTGTAACCTATAGAACATCTTTGATCTTGTCCTTTAACTCACTTGTGGAAAAGAAATCTCTTTATTTCCCATGACATTCACTCTCTGCCAAGAATCTGGATGAACATATCTGAAATCCCCAAAGCAAAAACTCTTGAGGTCCTACAGACCCTTCAGTTTCCCACCCCCATAAATCAATAAAAAGAAAAAACAACTTTGCATTATCCCTTCAAGCAGGTGAATAGCAATTTTTAGTATTAGACTTCTCAGTCACAATGGGCCTTTCTCAGAGTCTTTATTTTATTTAAGGTTGCTCTGAGAACCTGGCATCAAGGTGAGCTCAGTGAGCTCCCAGGCTTTTAAGGCAAGCCCTGCCACAAGCCCTTCACACTTTGAACCTTTACCCTCTTTAAAGATATAATGTTTACAGAGAGCTGAACTCCACTGGGTCTTCTAATACTGCCCACCCACAAACACCCCTAATACCTGTATTGCCTAGAAGAGGTCTCTTGTCTTAAACATTGTGTTAGCAATGTATTAGTAGTGACAGAGGAGGATACAACACTGATTTGTGGTTTTGTGTGAATGTTCTCATTCTTTCTAATTATTGTCTGTATTTATTGACTCCCAAGTTCAGATGTACTTCCTGTATATTCGTCTGAAGTTTGAGGTTTTTTTCCTTTTATTTTTTATCTTCTCTTTTCAGGAAAGTAACTTGTGCTGTTACGGTGTAGTATCAGGGTTTATCAAAGTGATGAAATGCTGTAATTATTCACAACTGTGTAATCAGTCTTATTCTATTTAGAACAAGGTTAGAGCAGAACGGACCAGGCACTCATTGCTTTCTTATCAGAAATTATAAACTGGACCTGTTCTTAGAGTCCTGCATAATAGAAATAACTATACTGACAATATTGAGCCATTGATTCTATTTGGTACTTCAGCATCTTTAAATTCCCCAAGCTTCCCTCTCTCAATTTTACTTCCATAAGTTGAATTCAGCCTTAGATTTAACTCACATGGAGCTCAGCAAAGGCCTTTCTAAAATCTTTTTATTTAGTTAACTTTTTCCAAATGAAAATAAAAGGGTTTATTCACAGAATGTAGGGGAAAATTATTATCTGAGGAAATTAATTTTTGAAGTGAGCAAACATTGTGCTTACAATTTTTCAAGATACTTTTCAAGTCATTTCCAATCAGCTTTAAAACAAGTTCAAATGGCTGTTAAATGGAATTACAATGAGAGAAGTTAATGCAAGTCTAATGTAAAAGACAATACAGAAAAGAAATTGCTAATATTGTTAGAGTAAGAACTCTTCTTCATTGCATTTTCTTCCTTCAGAGCTCCATTTCTTTCTTTTCTCCATGAAAATCACTTATTCATTATGACAACTCATGTAAGAGCTCAGTGCTTCTCAGCATTGCTGAAAAATTCAGTTTAATGCATCTTCATCTTTACTGATGACAACATGAGAGAATTTTCAGTTGAGTAACTGACTTGATGAGAGTTGGTTTCCATAAAAGAAAGCAAAAGAAGTCTGTAATTGTTTCAGTCTAATTAAATTTTCAGTACAAAAATTAGATGACAAAGTTATTGCCTTTCTTGTCTGATTGTTGTGTTATCATAGTTCTGGTTATAAAGTGACGCCCACTCAGAGACACTTAGTAAGGGGTTAGAACTTTGATTTCACAAGCTATAGATTGCATTTCTCTATGAAGATATTAATTGGCTTATATTTTGACAGGTGTTAGTCTACTGTCAAATAAACAAGTGAATGCATTGGTAATCTTGTTGTTGTGACTAGAGTAGTAAGCAAGTGATAGAGCCAGTAAGAGTTAATGTATCCAAGAGTAAACATTTAGGCTTGTGCATCCTCATATCAGTTGCTAGAGGACTAAACCATGCTTCAAAAATAATTGTAGATCCCAGAGGATGCTTGAGGCCTGGTTTCCACTCCCATCTTTCTGTTAATGGTTCTTTTTAGGTTAGAATCATTAGTTCTCTCTGAACTGATTGTTGTTGTTGTCGTTGTACTAGTTAACTCATATATATATATATATATGTATATATGTGGAAGCTCCACAAAGTTTAGTTGTTGTCGTTGTACTAGTTAACTCATATGTGTGTGTGGAAGCTCCACAAAGTTTTTTTCAGGATACAGAAGTAGAGGTCCTGGGTCAAGTTTTTGGACTATTAAATGCACATACATACATACATATATATATACATACACACATAGATATATATATATGTGTGTGTGTGTGTGTGTATGTGCATTAAATTGAGGTTGTAGCTAATGATTTAGCTTGCATTTAAAATGTGTTCTAAAGTTCCAAAATGAAAAAAAAATCTATGCAGGCAGGTGTGAAATGCTGCTGTTGTGGCATGGCAGGATGCTGGCTGCTTTAAAAGTGCAAATGTCTAAAAGAGGTATAGGTGAAGCAGTCCAAAGTTTTTGTCCAGTTGTTCAATATTGGCGATTTGGCTGTAGTGAGGTATATATAATAAAAAGCAAGTTAAATGCTTATCTCAAAGATGAGTGCAGTCCAAAGAAGGCAGATATTCCTCCTAGCTACATTGTCTGCCATGGTTTGCGGTATTTACAGAGTGAACCTTCACAGGACTTCTGTTACCTGCTGAGATAAACCCTGCAGTCTTTTTGCCCTTGCCGAGCTTTTGTTGCGAAGCTTTGGCTGACATAATGACAAAGTGCTACTCGCATTCCACGGTGGAGTCTGGGTCTCTGAATGCTTACATGAAAAGTTTTAAAATCACTCTGCAACTTTCTTAGATAAAGAAAGCCCAAATTAAAAACTGCAGCATAGAATGAGGAAACTGCAGTTATCTGTCATATGCCCACGTTCTGACTGCCTGTGCAACCACATACCTGTCTTACCATACTGTATGTGTTTAATTACCACGGCATGTCCAGATGGTGGAAGTGAAGAATGAGCTCCGTACACCCATGACATTGTCCATTTTCACATAGCCAGTCAGTAGAGAAGTACTTCTCATACTGTTTCTTGCAGCCTAATACAATAATATAACTCAGTGTTCTGAAGAAATTATAATTGATTCCTTGTATGCATGTAATGGAATTGAAGTTCAGATTACTAAATATTTGAATGAGTGGTGGCACCACTCTGCACAGGTGTAAACATGCCTCTCCAGTGCCTCTTACTACTTTAGGCCCCGGGCTATCACAGAGGAGGAAAGCTGCACTATTGGTAAAATGA